AAAAGGAAGAGCAGCAAAGAGAAGGGAAACTACCATGGATTATAGTAAGGCGCACATTACAGTATTGGTTTATGTTAAAAAATCTGAGGGTTTAATGTTACTTGAAGTTCATTAAAAAAATTCTAAAAGAATATAATAATGTTTTTTTCCCACTGGATCAATAAACTAACCTAAAACTGTATTCAGAAAAGTGTACAAGCCCCTCCTTAAACTTTTCTTTTTTCCAAGGTGGTGGGGCCATTTTTTATCCTCTTTTCTCAATGGGGAGGTCAAATCCTGCCCAGTGATAATATCAGCATTAGAAGCTTGCACATAGGCAGAGAGTGAAAAGGAGCTTGGCCATTGCTTTCCATGGTTTAAACAAAGAAAAATTGCGCTAGTCCTTTGCCACTATCTCTAAGTTGTAGATCCTCAAATCATCTCTGAATTGGTGCTGACACTGTTCTTCCTTCTGGAAGGTGGCTACTTTTGTTCCCCATGGTCTCTGTGTGTTGTAATGTAGCCACCCCTCCAAGCTCACTCCCGTGATGGACTACAGTCTGACATTCAGTTTACTAATTTGTATTGAGATTGTAGTCCATCACGGGAGTGAGCTTGGAGCGGTGGTGTTAGGATCCAGAGCGCCTCTAGGTGGCGCTGGAGCTAAGCACTGCAGTTCCTGTGCTCACCTGCCAGTGTCTCCAGGCAGCCGGGAACTGTTAGGTACCAGTCCTGTTACCTGCTTATGTTCCTGAGTCCTGTTCCCTGCTTATGTTCCTGAGTAGCGATGGGCCGAGTGTTCGAATCGAGCGCTCGCCGAACTTTATGGGAAGTTCACGGTTTGTTCGACTGCGGACATTCCATAATACAAAATGCCCGCTGAAGCTCTGATTTGTTAAAGTCTTGCCCCTGACCACAGGTCAGAGGCAAGACTTTGCCTAATCAGGGCTCAGCGGAGGAGGGGCCTGAAGGAGAAAGTTCTCTATCAGGTCCCCCCATGCTGATTGACAGCAGCCAGCTTGCTATTGCATTTTACAATATCCAATAGCAGGCTGGGTATGGCTCCCAGCCTGCAATGAAGAGGAGGCAGGGGGGCGGGGCAGAGGTGCTGCGGCCGGACGGGGGAACGGAGAAGCCGACGGACCAGGGGAAGACAGCAGCAGAGGTACGGCCACCACAGGCAGGGAGAACAGCGGGGATTTGAAGGGACACAGGCCGCTGCAGCCACATGTACCGGCAGCTGTATGGGGGTCGAACATTCGACACCCATACACTTGCATTGAGTTTGAGTTCGTACTCAAACATTTCGGCGGTTCGAATGTTCGAATACGAACCAAACACAGGGGTGTTCGGCTCATCCCTATTCATGAGTCCTGTTACCTGCTTATGTTCCTGAGTCCTACTGCCCTGCTCCCAAGGTTTTCATGCCCTGTTAAACCCTGTGAGGGTATTCTGTGGTTTGTTCTTAGTTTTTGGTTGCGATAACTTATTTGAGGGTTATGTTATGTTTTGGCTCCTTATAAATAATATATATATATTTGCTCGATTTGCTTGTCTGCTTGTCTGGTGTGGTCATACGTGTTCGGTCTGCCTGTGTGGGTACCTGCACATGGTGTGGCGACACGTTTGCCGGCATCCCTGACAGGTGGCTACTTTACAACACACACAGGGTCCATGGGGAGCAATAGTAGCCACCCTCCAGAAGGAAGGACAGTGTCTGCACCAATTTAAAGATGATTTGAGGTTGTACAGCTGTGCGATACACAAGTAAGATACATTTTTGTTAATAGTTAAGGTACTTGAATGCATTTCTAAGATTTAAATCCTGAGTTTAGTGCTACCTTAATCATAACTGACCCTATTAAAAAATTGAACTATTACAAAATCGAATCAACATTCTGAAAACAATTTTTTTCTAACATTCTAACCAGCTTAAGTCTGACCTGGAAAAATGTATGCAGCAGGTGAATTATTTACAACTGACCTGGCTCCATGACTTGAGAAGTACTGAAGCCAGAGGTCCAGCAACACAGCCGGGTAATAAGCACCTTTACAGGGAGTTTAGTCCTAGCAGCTTCTCTCATGACAGGTCCCCTTTAAAATCACAAGTCATTGCATTGCAACCGTCTGTTATTGCAACAATCTCTCTCTCTCTAGGCAGTTTATCTGATGCAAACAATGAAGACACTGTTGGCTTCTATTTATGTGGTTTTTCATATTGATCAAATAATTAGACCAATTCAGTATGGCAAAGAGCAATATACAGAATGAAATAACACATAAAATGTGCTGAATGAATGAAAGGGGTTTGAACTAGTCTAGAGTTATACATGGTAAGGTTGCTGGCATGCCTTGAAAACACACTGGATTTTTCATTAAAAATATAATGATATGAGACCAAGTCACCAATAAAAACAATTAAAAGAAGAAGTATTCTGAATGCTCACTGGTAGCGAGGAGCTCAGGCTCTGACTGAACTCAGTTCAAGCCTGAGCTACTCCAAACATGGAGAGAAGCTCCTGCAAACATGGAAGGAAGCTCTTTTGAACACGGAAATAAGCTCTTGAACACGGAAAGAAGCTCCTGCAAACATGGTAGGAAGCTCTTGAACATGGAAAGAAGCTCCTGCAAACATGGTAGGAAGCTCTGGAACATGGAAAGAAGCTCCTGCAAACATGGAAGGAAGCTCCTTTGAAGACTGAAAGAAGCTCCTGCAAACATGGAAGGGAGCTCCTTTGAACACGGAAAGAAGCTTCTGCAAACATGGAAGGAAGCTCATTTGAAGATGGAAAGAAGCTCCTGCAAACATGGAAGGAAGCTCCTTTTGAAGACTGAAAGAAGCTCCTGCAAACATGGAAGGAAGCTCCTTTGAACACGGAAAGAAGCTTCTGCAAACATGGAAGGAAGCTCGTTTGAACATGGAAAGAAGCTCCTGCAAACATGGAAGGAAGCTCCTCTGAAGACTGAAAGAAACTCCTGCAAACATGGAAGGAAGCTCCTCTGAACACGGAAAAAAGCTCCTGCAAACATTGAACTAAGCACCTTTGAACATGGTAGGAACTCCTGCGAACATAGAAGGAAAGTCTCTGCTAACTTGGAAGAAAGCTCCTGTGAACATGGAAGGAAGCTCCCGCAAACAAGGAAATAAGCTCATTCCACTGCTGCAAAATCAGCTGGGGAATTCCCTGCCTGCAGCTTGACATAAGCAGAGGGGTGGGATGCTGTGAAGTCATTGACCTTATAGGCCCACATGGTTATATTTAGTCAATGACACTGACCCAGTATGGCCATGTAGCCATATAAGGTCAATGACATCAGACATCAGCATCCCACCCCTTTATTTATGTTTAGTTGCAGGGCAGGGAATGCCCTGGCCCACAGCTGATTGGGTGGGTGGACCATGGCATTTTTGTGTTCACAGAAGCTCAGATTTGGAGCAGGTTCCCTCCAAACCTGAGCTCGCCCCTTTTTTCCTTCCTTGCCAAACTGCAGATCCCCCCACCTTCCCATTTTAGTTCACCTATATTAGCGCGCATCACGTCATCTGGAGCTGAGATCCTGCCCCATAGCACTTGTCCCAGTGTCACTGTGACTGTCTCCCCCCGGTTCCTCCATTCGAGATTCAGGTGGACTCAGAAGTGCGCTGTGGTAGCCCCATTTTCATTCGGTTATTTCCTGAATTTCTTCTTAAAAAGGGGGAATTTTGAAAGACAAAAACTGCTACGTTAATGGTATCGTTAGACTGAAGCGTATAATTTTTTTTCCAATTTTTCACTTACTTCCACTTTAAATAAAAGGTACCAAAACCACTTAAAATAATATCCTCACGTCACTGTACGTAATTCACACAATTTCTCCCTGCCCATATATTGCTTCATCCCTCATGCTGATTTTATTTCCAATGAAATTCTTATTCACTGCACTCCTCTCCTGATTTATAAATGCACAGGATGTTGCGGCCACTTACTACGTTAAATGTGTAAAGATTGCCTATCAGCATACTAGCAATGTACACATTGCATCATCGCCTTCCTATCAGTCATCCTGTTTTGGTCGCTAGAGGCAGAATCATACCGTTCTGTTTAAATTTGCATATCTTAAAGGAAACCATAGACTTTTTAATATTTTTAGATATACGTGTGAATATGATCAGCTGACTGTAAATAACATTATCAGTGTGTGTAGAAAAATATATATAGATATATATATATATATATACACTGAGTGGCCAGTTTATTATGACCACCTGACGTTTGTAGGCAAATTAGCTATAATTAGCTATAATTTTGCGCTGAAGTTGCTAGAGGGCCAGACCATTATAAATAGGGAAGCAGGTTGTTTAACACGACAGTAGAAGTGATTTTTTTCTGAAGATATGGGTAAACAACGCGATTTAACAGCCTTTGAACGTGGGATGATTGTTGGCGCTCGGAGCCATGGAGCGAGTATCAGCAAAACAGCAGAATTTGTTAAATGTTCAAGAGCAGCTGTTGTTAAAGTGTTTAAAGACTGGACTGTCAGCCGAAAATCTTGGTCTGAACGTGTGAATTGTGGCCGTCAGCGACTAGTCAATGTTAGGGCAGAACGGAGAGTGGCAAGACTGGTACAAGACAACAGAAGGCCAACAGTGCAGTGTCACATTCCTCGCATCACCTTTCAACATCTCGTGGTGTTACGAGGCGGCCCAAAGAAGTCATCTCGTGGAGTTATCTCGTGGCCCAACGAAGTACTGATGGGGTGGTCATAATAATCTGGCCACTCAGTGTATATAAGGCAGTGTCACATTTACCCACCACCATCAATATTTTTTATGTATTTGTTTCTAAAATTATTATAATTATTTTTATTTTTTGTTTTTTCATGAGAAGCAAACATGGGCAGAAATGGCACAGCCCGTACTAAAATGCTTACAAGTGCCCAATATGCACTGGAGGTACTAGTCTGTCCTGCTGCAAGTATGACATCAATGAGGGCCTTCACTGGATGATTTGTGATTGAGATGTGTTTCCGCCTGTCCCCAGATATCGTTGACCAAGTGACTTTCATTACAAGGAATCACATCTGGATCGCCAACAACTACCTATCGACCACTGTGGATATTATGTTTATTAAGCTGCCGTATACTATACAGATTTCATCGGGTTCTTGATTACTTTGGTCAGCTGATTGAAGGAGCTGGCTGAAAAGTCTTTGGACGAATGCTTTGTTTGTCCAAAGACTTTCCGGCCAGCTCCTTCAATCAGCTGACCAAAGTAATCAAGAACCCGATGAGCAGCCAATGAGACGGTGGCCCCGTCACAATACAATGAAGATAGCGGGAGATTCATCGATCAACACTCGTAAGCATTGATGGATGAACCTGTTATAGTTTTCTTTGTTCAGCCTGCATGTGGAATGAAGAAATATTACATTGTATAGCCAGCTTTAGTCAATAAATATATCATGTATTCGCTTAACAAAAGTCCAAACACCATCAACATTTCTGCCTCCTGGCATCTCTCCTCTTTCTTCTTCTACCTCTTCATTCTTTTCAAAAAAAAAAAAAACAATTGGCCCCCTGAAATCCAGGGAAGGACAACTCTCTTTGCCTTTCATTTCAACAAGGGATGCACCGATACCATTTTTTTGGTATCGAGTACAAGTACCAACATTTTTTTCCTCGTTACTCGCTGATACTTAATAGCGATAGTGGTGTAATGTGCCCCGATTATCAGGTAGTTGGGATGTGGATCATGACCCATCGCCTGGCTTCCTGATTGCCTGGGAAGCCGGTGTTCTATCGAAAGAACACTGGCTTCACTTGCCGAGGCTGCCTGGCTTCCTGACCAATCAGGAAGTCGGGCAGCGGGGAACAAGGGAAGCCGGCTTCCTAGCAAATCAGAAAGCCAGGCGGCATGTCATGAACCGCCCCCAGGCTTCCTGATTAACTAGGAAGCTGGCTTCACTTGTTCCTAGGCAGCCTGGCTTTCTGACCAACCAGGAAGCTGGGAGGTGGGTCATTACGTGGAGCCAAGCTTTCTTCATGGTTAGGAAGCCAGGATGCCGAGCAACGAGTAAAGCCGGCTTCCTAGCCAATCAGGAAACCATGAGGCGGGTCATAACCCACCGCCCAGCTTCCTGATTGGAAAGGAAACTTGTTCCATGCTCCCTCGGCAAGTTCCGGTTTCAGGAGTAAGTAACGGAGCATTTGGGTGAGTATGAGTACTCGCCTAAATACTCTGCATGGTCATCGATACTGATACTAGTATGGGTATCGGTGCATCCCAAATTTCAACATTTGTCCCTGTGCTCACTGAAGCCAAACTGTCCTACCGCTGGTCAATATTCTCACATTTGTATCTGCAATGCTACACTGTATTTTTTGAAAACCATATGTCTTGGGTCTCTACATTTAGGCTTCTACTTCTTTCCTTGACAAAATGGTGCCAGTGGCCAATTTGCCCAAGACCCTTGGTGTAGAGTCTAAGGAGAGACCTGATATTCACCAGTGCAACCTACAAGGAGTGATGGACTTCGCAGCAGTACGGCTCCCAGGTTGCGGCCCAGGGTACATCTGGACTGGCAATTTTCCTTGGCACACAAAAAATTGCTGCCAGAAAAAAAAAAGAAAAACTGCTTTGGGATTGAAGCCTATCAATGGGGAAATCACAAAACTCCCCTGGCAGTGGGGCTGCAACCACACAGCAAGGGCTCAATACTTTGGGTCTAGAGCACATGTGTCAAGCTCAAGGCCCAGGGGCCGAATCCGGCCCACCAGGCCATTTCCTAGACTTCTACTTTCAGATGTAGGTATTAAGTTATTACTAAAACCAGTGATAATCGAATGCAGAGGCAATTATGATAAAGATTAGATACATTTATATAGTCTTACAGATACCTTTGAGGGCAACCATAATGTTGATGCAGCCCACGATTAAATTGAGTTTGACACCCCTGGTCTAGAGTATCCGGAAAAGGAGTTTTACAGAGTTCAGCTCAAGTACTGTCCTGCCTGTGTTTATCTGATATCTGATCTGTATGGGATATATTACACTGTAATTCTCATTGTAGAAAACACACCCGTCTTGTCTCTGTCTCCACAGCTCAAACTATTCTACCCAATCACGTTCAACTACCTCCCTACTGCCGATCACTTTGTTCTGCAGGGTCTCTGAGTTACTGCACTTTCTCTCTTTTTTTTTGCTGTAAAAAACATTTGCCATGTGTCTAGGCCCCGATTTAAGGGCTAAGTTTACCTTTCATGATCATGTTTCATTTTACACCCATATTCAGCGTGTCACATGAATCATGGTCATATTGTAACCCCTCCCATGCCCCTTCGGGCCCCCACCTGAATCACAGGGTTCTAAAAAATAAAAAAGTTAGATTCACCCAAACCTCTCAGTTGGCTTGCTCTTAGCCTGGTCCCTAGAGCCTCTCTTCCCCCTCCGCTGCAGCGGTCTAAGGTCATGAGTCATCATGTGATATACAGTGTATAGGAGGTGAGTTCAGCGAGGGACAAGCCAACACCGCAGCATAGGATAAGTGAGGCAGGAGGGAGCACTGTCACAGCAGGGCACCTCGGAAGAGCAGGTGAGTATAACTGTTATTTTTTACCCTAGGCAAAAATGAGCACTTAACCCCTGCAGAGTGGGGGTAGCTCCACTGCAAGGGTTAATACAATTGTACCAGGGAGTTTATCTTTAAAGAAGAACTATGGACACATACCGACGTTCGCTCACTTCTCGATCCTGTCACAGCTCTCTGCTGTGACAATTTATTAACCCTTGTAACAGGGGAGGGACTGGATTCCCCCATCCCCGCTCCGATCCTCCAGCACTGACTGGCGGAATGGATGGGGGAGGGGGCGGGTACAGCTGGCTCTGCCTCTAGATAGGCAGAGCCAGCTGTCACTCACGTAGCAGGGCGGATCCAGACATAATTGTCGGGATCCGCTTCAGCTGCAGCGTCTCAGTATACCGCGAGCTGTAGCTCGCGGTATACTGAGCTTAGGGTGATGGGAGGATGCTAGTTTGTCCTCCCGTTGGCCTAAGGAGAACTATGGGGAAAAGCCCTAACCCCATAGTTCTCCTTTAACCCCTGCAGAGTGAGGGTAGCCCCACTGCAAGGGTTAATAAAATTGTACCAGGGAGTTCGTCTTTAAGCACATTGCCCCTGTGTGCTTACCGGGTATTCTACTGTTGTCACCATTTGGAAACATACCAATGTAAAACCACATGCAGCCATCATCCATTAGGAAATACAGTATGTCCTGTGATAGAACACATGCATCCTGTTATCACTGTAGTGCATCTGGTCAGAGATAGTCTGTAAAGAGACCGCAAGACATCAGCAGCACTGAGATGAAACAAGGTATGAAAATGTCCTCCTCCCCACCATCAATCCTTAGGATACACAGTATTTTGCTACTTACATGACAATTAGTAAAGTTTCCATCTACTTTCACAGTTTCTAATGCCTACAAACGCGCCATTAGTCTCCCCCTATGCAGTTTGTCAGCAGCACTCCCTATGCTTTTCCTCTCACATTGTCAATATGGCTGATGTAACCTCATCCTTTTATAGTGAGGGGGCTGGCTTACTCACTCAAGAGTCCTCTTATTGGCCCTTTAAGTCATCTGACCTAAGTTCAAAGGCCAGGCAGTGCATTATGGTTACTGTGAATTCAGTCCAGCAAGATTCTGCATACATTTGCTGGGAATGGCAATTTTCGAACCTATTGGATTTGGTGCAAACCTCAACCTCACCCCAACCCCAACAAAAGCGCAGGTTTGCTTTCGGCCGGTCTCCACCCCACAGTTATATGGGGAGAAATGCGGGTTTTACCCTGCAATGAATGTTAATACACATTGGGGAAATTCATAAAATACTGGAGCAGTTGCCCATGGCAACCAATCAGCTCCCCTCTTCTGTTTGTTCAGTTAAGCTTTGAAAATGAAACCGAGAAGTTGGGTTGCCATGGGCAACTGCTCCAGATTTTGTCTGCTACAGTTTTTTTATGAATTCGTGCATTGAGGCATATTAAAAGCCCATTGCAAATGAATTGGCTGCCGTATTTAGCTGCGCGATATCGCACAAAACAGAGATTTACATTGAAGTGTATGGAAGCTGTTCACACCTTTGCGATTTGCCGCACGGTAGAAATTCGCCTCTCGCGCGAAAAGGTGCAGCAGCTATTTTCGGGGGGTTTTCAAAGCAAAAATGCACGACAACCGCACAAAGACAGCTCAGCAGCTCAATAGGATAGGTGTGAGCCTAGCCTTAATGCAGCGTGCCTCAAGACACCACACAGTGTACTATGTGGCACGCACATTTGTGTGAGGGGACCCGTCCGTAGCCTGGAGATTTTCCTGCATGCACTGATACCATTTGTGTTTATTATGGCGAGACACATAAAACTAGGCGTCACTTGCTAACAGCAACCAATCAGGGGCTGGCATTTGTTTTGCAACCTGCACTAGAAGATTGACAGCTGGAATCTGATTGGTTGGTACACCACGGACGTTTTATTATTGTAATTTGTAATATTGTTTTGCCCTACTCTGCAGTCAGGTTCTCTGTGTGCGGCATGTTGCGGCTTGATACAACCTTACTGAACCTTGGCATGACTAACTGCGCAACAAACACGCATGAACAAACTGGCAGCGCTCCTGCATGTGGGCGATACTGACAATGTCCTTATAACCTTTTAGAAGGAAATAGTATTTCTCAGAACTTCTGGGGGTTGAATGTTTGGCAGAGCTTCCTTAGTAAGAAGTTCTATGACTATGTAGGCCAGGACTGGCCATCATCCATCTTTTAGCTGTGGGGTTAAATCCCCCGCTGACATTTTATAGCTCCTAATTCTTCTTTCCTCCTCCCCTCCACCAGATTTCCTGGTCCTTACCCCACCCACCCCGACCCAGAATCTTCAGGTGGCCTAACACACTACAATATGATTGTACAAGCCCTATACAATCTCATTAATATTTACCACAGCTATGTAATATGAGGACAAACCTCTCTGGTTTGCTCGCACACAGTGGGGTGACACCATTGGAGGGGTAATACCAAAATGACTGACAGTCATTTTGGTGTCACCGCCTCTAAAAAGTCGGGCCCACGGTCATGGACTGAGAGCCAGACAGTGTCAGGAGAGAGGAGGGGACCCAGCGGCATACCTCCTCCCCTTCTCTCTCTGCCAGCGTCCATCACTAAGATGGCCGCCAGCAGTCGTCAATTAGATGACCGCGCATGCGCAATGACGTCACAGCAAGTTGTCACCAAGTCCTGGATTTCATATAGGGTTGCCACCTTTTCTTCAAGCGAAACCCGAACACTCAAGCAGCGTGCAGAATGGGAGTCGTGGCTTATTCATATGTAAATAGCGTCGCCCATTCATATATAAATTTCACAGTTGAGACTATTTTCAGTGGGGGGCCAGTAGCCCCTATCTTAATTTTGGTTGCCCCTGTCTGCCTGACATCTTGTGTCCGGGTTTCTACTGCCATGAAACCCGGACACAGGATTTAAAACCCGGACTGTCCAGATGAATCCTGCATTTCATACTGTCCCCTAATTTCATACTGTCTGGCTCCAGGCATTCTGGGGTGGAAGGGGGCGTGGTGCATTCAAGTCAATGGCACTGCAGCCACGCCTCCCAGCCCGCAGTGCGATTTCCCGCTCCAGAACGCCTGGCACAGCAATGACCCTTTAGTACAAGCACTATTTTTTGCGATTGCACTGGACCGGAATGCGGATGATGCTGTGGTATGCGTTCTGGTGCAGGCAATCGCACTATGGGGAGGGGTGTGTGGCTGCAGTGCCATTGACTTGAATGCACCGCAAACCCCCCTACCGCCCAAGAATGCTGGGAGCAAAACAGTATGCGATCCATTGCGTTCCAGCAGCTAAACGTGCCGGAACGCACTGGAAATGGTGTGAACCGGCCCTAAATCGGCCCGGTGTGCATGTGAGATAGAGACCTTAGATCGTAAGCTCCTTGAGGGCAGGGACTGATGTGATTGTGTAGGTATGTAAAGCACTGCGTACAATTGTCGGTGCTATATACATACCAATCATAAATAAACCACCCAATCTATTTGTATTCAGTCAGGTGGGCCCTTGTACTACATAGTTGTTGATAGATCCAAAGGAGATTGTACAATCAGATTGTAAAGTGTGTGGTGAGTTGAAGTCAAGTCTGAAAATCTGATTTATGAGCTGACTCTGGTGGACGGAATCCTCTACTAGCTCTACTATACAGGAGCTCAGATGCTTGAGGATCCCAGAGATATAAGCAGCCAAAGTGTCACCATACATGTTACCATCTGACCAGGGGCATAACAATGGCCATAGCAGCCCATGCGGCTGCTATGGGGTCTGGGGGTGGAAGGGGGTCACATGAAGGATTGCTGAAGTGGCTGTTCACCCTGTACCCCTTATGTCATTTCCAATCGAGAAGGGTTGATATCAGATGTACATGAAGAGACTATGCAGACAGCTCTTAAGGTGCCCATACACTGCACGATTATCGTACGATAATCGTATGCGATCGGGTTTTCGTACGATAATCGAGCAGTGTGAACGAAGACGTGCGACCGTTTCTACTGTACGGTCGCACGTCTTCTGTCGAACCAGCATGTTCGAAAACCAGCCGGGAATCGTACGATTCTCGGCTGGTTAGAACGGTGCTCGGAAGACAAATGCTGAACGGACCGATGTGCGCACGCGCACACTGCCCGTTCAGCATTGCGGTCATCGGAAGCCCGCCCCTCGGGGGGGCGGGCTTGCGATGATCGAGAGTGCGATCTGCCTGTCCAAGATAGGCAGATCGTACGTTTTTTTAATCCCTTTACAACCATCGCAAGACTAAAGTCTTGCGATGGTTGTAGAGTGTATGGCCACCTTAATGCTACCTGTCCTTGATTTAGATTTTAAAGGGTTTGCCATGGGGCCCTATTCAAATTTTCCTATGGGGCCCCATGATCTGTAGTTACGCCCCTGCATCTGACCATGCAATCACTGTACAATCAGCTTTAGATTTACTAAAACTATGTAATATGAGGGCCTACCTGATCTATCCAATCAATGTATACCCAATCAGCCGGGCCCCTATACTACATAGATGTTGGTAGATCTATAGTAGATTGTACAATCCGATTGTAATGTGTGTGGTGAGCTTAAGACCCTAAGTCCACCTATAACTGAAATATTGGCTCTTATGACCGAACACTTTCTTGTGTGTTTTGCATTAGGCAAACGAAGGGGCCGGCAATGCACCTCAACATCCCAGAAACCGGACCTGCACCATTTCTGGCAACGCGTGAAAAAAAAACCGCATATTACTGCAATGCACGCCAATGTAAAAGTGTAAAACTCACCGTATAGCCTCCAGTTGTGCTATAACTACACATCCCATCATGCCTCTACCTCTGGGGGTCATGTCTGTAACTGTCAGTGTCTTGCAATGCCTTATGGGACTTGTAGTTCCACAACAGCTGGAGGGCCGGAGTTGCCCACCCCTAGTTTAGTTGCTCTTTACAGTGCATTGCGGTAAGGCTGCCCGTTCACTTTGCACATGGCATTGCTTTTAATGCACGGGTGTTAACATACGTTCTATTGCACATTAACATGCTTTGCTTTAAGGCAGCCTATCCAAAAATACAAGTCACCACAGTGGACCTTACATTGGGCGTGCATTCTTTTTCTTGACACCTTACCCTGTGCCATGGTGCACATGCGTCGCTTAGGATGCTACTGAAAATGAATGACACTTCAACACACTATTGCAGTAGCGCTGATTGTGTGCCAGGATGTGCATTAGGATGTCATTGAGAACCAATGGCAACACAACGCACCAGCCTACCTTGCACATGGTACTATGCATTGTGCAACGGCATGCTCTAAATGCACAGATCCAGCTTGCTTAGCACAGCCCTATGATGTGAATGGTCCCTTAATGGGCTAATTAAGTCCCCATTCAAACCTCTGTGTTCCATGTACACAGGTCCAATTCGCGTGCAATTTTCCTGCGTTTGGAGCACGTCACCGGTGCTGCATGCGCGACAAACGCAGGGAAGTAGCCCATTTAGCAGATTCTGCTACAGGCATACCACTTTTTTTCACCATGCATTTGGTCTTGGCATACCCCTAGGATACAATTCCCTATTCTTTTCTACAATATTGACTACTGGGGTGTGAAATCGCGCTCTCCCACATATAATAACTCCTGGTACACGCCAACTAAACTTACCCTATGCATTTGTGTGCGTTTAACACGCTGGAAAAAAAACTTGAATTCTCCCACCCGAGTAATGAGTAATGGCGCGGAAAACACGTTTTAGATGTGTTCACGCGCAAGACACGCGTCGATGCGCGTTCGTTCACAGAAGACATCAAAAACGCGCAACATGCTTGAACGCGAAGGTGTAAATGGAGACTAACACAATGCACAATAGCGCATGTGCATTAACACAACACAGCAGGACACCAAGGTCTAAGTGAGCCCTACAGGAAGCCACCCTGAGAGACTCCTTCAGAAAATGCTAGCGGCCTGGCTGTCATGCACATCCGGCGGCTGCAACACTTGCCAAGCAACGGATGAACATGCACACAGATCAGAAGCCGTGACTTTCCTCGCTGCAGGCATTGGATCAAAGATTGAAAGACAATAAAAGAAGATCAGTGGTGATGAACTGCATATTTGTCTCTGTGCATGAAACAACATGAGAGGTCTATAAAAGAATATTATATTTATAGGGGGAGTGTGGATGGGGGAGGGGGTGGGGGGTAATCTGGCTTCTATTGCCCCCAGCAGCAAGATCTCTGCCACATAGTCCCTGGCATTTTAAACAGCTGCCTAAAAAGTGAACTGCAGCCAAAGTTGGACTGAACCTTTAAGAGTAAACAGGGCACGCCGTGCAGGAGACTGAGCAATTATGGAACACAAGGTAATTTGAGGTAATGCTGATTGCTTATTTTTATAAGGAGCGGCCAGCCATGGCACTCCTGATTCTGATTCTCACTGTAGGAGGAGCCTTTCAGGGAACAGGGTGAGAAAGCACCTGGGTGTGTTATTTCACAGTGGGGAAGTCCCTTATGTCAAAGCTGCTTCCTATTCTGCCTGTCAGTCTGTGCAATTGCTGTCAGGGACTTTGTAGAATAAGGCGTTAGGGAAAGAGGGAGATCCTGGCATGAGTCAGTAGAGCCCGCAAGTCGTGAACAAACGCAGGCAATTTATGAACTTTTAAGTGAGTCGGTTAGTTGCTGGCTTCAGTCCTGCAAGGGGGTTTGCAAAAAGATGGAAAACTTCATACAGGATGTCTTGCATAAGCAGGAAAGGCTGATGATGATTTGTTATGACTTGTGATGACTTTTTGTGGTCTACAGAGCATCGAGACACGTCAAGGAGTTCTGGTGGTCTACAAAGCATCGAGACACATCAAGGAGTTCTGGTGGTCTACAGAGCATCGAGACACTTCAAGGACTTCTGGTGGTCTACAAAACATCGAGACACTTCACGGACTTTTGATGGTCTACAGAGCATCAAGACACTTCAAGGACTTCTGGTGGTCTACAGAGCATCGAGACATGTCAAGGTCTCCTGGTGGTCTACAGAGCATCAAGACACTTCAGTGACTTCTGGTGGTCTACAGAGTATCAGGACATTCCAATGAGTTCTGGTGGTCTACAGAACATTAAGACACTTCAAGGACTTCTGGTGGTCTACAGAGCATCAGGACATTTCAGTGACTTCTGGTGGTCTGCAGAGCATCAGGACATTCCAATGAATTCTGGTGGTCTACAGAGCATCAGGACATTTTAGTGACTTCTGGTGGTCTACAGAGCCTCTGGACATTTCAGTGACTTTTGGTGGTCTACAGAGCCTCAGGACACTCCAATAACCTCTGGTGGTCTACAGAGCCTCAGGACATTTCAGTGACACTTCAATGAAAACCTTTCAGTAGGACCAATGCTACAGGCAACATCATGAATAAATAAAGCTGCATCAGGTAAACATTAAAAGGGGCGGGAAAAGATAAGAGAGGGAGGAGAGGCATAGATTGAGGAGGAGAGCATCGGCTAGTGTCACATAAGTGTCAATGACATTTTCTCAGGTGGAGGCTGCCCTCTGCATGGATTGAGATCATCCAGAGTGTGATGGACACCGTACAGTACCACCACTACCATCACCACCACGGTGGCGGGATGGAGGCTGCATCACCCTTGGACCTCAGCATCCGAAAGAACGTGTTGGATGAGATGTCACGAAGCTCTGTTGGATTATGGGCAAAGGGAGCTGCATTGGGGGCCAAGACCCTCAAGGAGGTGAAGATGGAGAACATAAAGTCACCAGCAGGGGGACACAGTGACTTGCTGGAAGAAACAGGACTGTACAAGGACCAAACCTGTTTGCCCCTGCGGAAACGCAGATTCCCCCAGTCGCCAAAGGAAGAGAAGCCCCCAGTGAAGCAAATTAATGATGGTGACTGGACAAGGCAGTGCTGCAGATCCTATGTGGCAATGCCAGTAGCACCTACGCCGGCCTTTTACCAAGGTAACTATATTAAAATCACCAAATATATGATAAAAAAATGATTATTTATTGGGGGTTGCTGCCATCTGAAGGATGATTTTGTTTTTTTAAGAGTCAGTCCACCCAAATGGTACAATGCAATTCAATGATAGGTGGATCCGAGTTGGGTAATCACTTGCTGGTTTCTTCCATTTCTGAAAAATCCAACAGGTGGTTGGGAGCCCTGGGGATGGTCCAGATCTAAGGTGCAGAAATGTTGCCCCAAAGTCTGAAACCAACATAAGAAACCGTTAGGTTGACCAACTCTCCGGGATCCATACTGAAAAATCAAATGTTAGATTTGGGTGGACTGGCCCTTTAATAAAGCTTCAGTATGAAATCTCTGAATAAAGTGAAAGCTGTATAGAGCTTCTGTCAAGTTTTTATTGCTGTTCTAGTCCCCGTTGGAGAGATTTCCCATCACATCCTGTGGGGACACCGGGAGAACTCTTTCTATTCAGGACACAGCAAAAAAAAAAAAAAAAAATTCTTAATGTCCAACCTGGAACAAGGTAGCAGAATATGAAGACAGGTCCGAGCTCCTTATCTGCATTCCTCTTCCAGGATATAAAAAAACGGTTGCTGGATTCTGACAGCCAGACATCTATCCTATGCAAAACGAGGGATTAGGAATGACAGCTTCCAGATTTTAAGTACAGGTCTCGTTTTGAGCTTTGTATTGCTGTGCCCCCGTTACACAGATCTGTGCCCACTTCCTGTGTGGTCAGGGACGTGGACTAAAAACTTAAAATGTAAATAATAAAAGTCACGTGTATTACCGCACTGGTCTGGGAATCCAGATGCAGCATTTTACTGAAGCTGGCCACATGCTGCACAATCTGATTTTACTATCCCTGTATGATCTTTAGATGGACCATATTTTGTAATATGAGGGCAAACCTATATGATCCATTGAATTAGTATCACGGCAGGCTTTTTTTTGTATATATAGATGATCAATTTGTATCCAATCAGGCAGGTCCTTGTATTACATAGTTAGTGCTAGATCTAAAGAAGATTATACAATCAGATTGCAATGTGTGTCATGAGCTTAAAGCTGACCACAGACTGATTATGCAATCAGCTTTAGATCAACCAACAAATTACAATGTAATGCAAGGGCACGCCTGATTGGTTGGATAGATTAGGTGGGTCCTCATATTACATAGGTTATGGTAAATCTACATTTGATTGTGCAGAGATTGTCTGGGCAGATTGTAAGGTGTAGGCTGACCCTTAAGCTGCCCATACACCTTGCGATCATCGGATGAAACGTTTCGTCCAATGATCTAACAGTCGTACGATTTTCGTACGGCGGCCCCATCCTGCCCCGATTATCGCAAGGTTGGATCAGTGGTAATTAAAAGAAAGCACCTGGACTAATTGCGGTTATCGACCCGCACGTATTTCCGTCTGCACATGTGCAGTGTAAATCGAACGAATTTTGACATACGGAAACGCCACCAACCTTGCAAAAATCGCACGATCGACCAAAGTTTTCTAACCTGCTGGTTAGTCAAAAGTCGATCGATTGTACAGTATTTGCGGTTGTACACTGCCCATCAACCTTACGAAAAACGCGATTGCATGCGAAAATCGCCCGATATTTGTAAGGCGTATGGGCAACTTTAGAGCGATGTCAGAGCACTTGCACACCGCAATCTTCTTTACAAAAGCACAGAATGCTTCCAGCAAGGTGCAATGCTTAGTTTGGAACACATTAAAAACGTGCAATGCGTTTTCGGTGCCAATACTTGTTAAATGCACCCCAAACACGGGGTCTGCATGTTTAAACTACGTACAAACACGCTGGGAAAAAAACACGGGACGTCTGTGGCAGAACCTGTTACATGAGATACTTTCCCGCTTTTGTTGCGCATGTGGCAACTATTGATATCAATGGAGGCGTGCGCAAACACGCATGAATGCAGAGTGCTAGGTGTGAGCAGGGTATTCAAGCTCATGCACACCACCAGACATGCGTTATAGTGCACATAATGTGTGTCAGTGTGCATTGTGCAAACCTTATCTTTTTTTTAACTTTAAACGTTAAAAAAAATGTATACATTGATTTCTGTGCCCTACAACGTGTTTGAGTGATGTGCGTTGCATAAAAATGTGCACATGCTGCGTTTCTGTGCAATGCCAAAGGGAATCGGGTACATAGAGAGTAATTGTTCTCTCTGTGTTCTAGCATTGAGCCGGTGTTGATGAATGCACCAAAATGTATCCAAATACAAGTGTAAATAATATACAGAATTGTCACTACATTGTAAATAGTTGTCTGTTAGTTAAACACGTGACTGAGGCTGAATACTATAAAAGAAAGGGAGATCCAAAGTAGACTATCCTTAGGACAGTCATGGTTTGTGGTGGTTCTGGTACATCTATGGATGGGGGGAGATGGACAGAATGAGAGAGAGGGGAGAGACTGGTGGAAGAAAAAGATATGGGGGAAGAGATAATTAGAGCAGAGAAGGAGAAATGGATGAAGAGGAAAAAGAAAGATTTGAAGAAAGTGAGAGGGGAAAAGGAGAGAATGGTGGATGAAGAAAAGAGAGAGTGGAAAAGAGGAGAGGAGAGATGGGTAGTGGGGAAAGGGAGAGGGGAAGAGAGAAGAGGAGAGATGGGTCGTGGGGAAAGGGAGAGGGGAAGAGAGAAGAGGGGAAAAGAGGAGAGGAGAGATGCGTAGTGGGGAAAGGGAGAGGGAAATAGAGAAGAGGGGAAGAGAGAAAAGGAGAGATGGGTGGTGGGAAAAGAGAGAGTAGAAAAGAGAAGAGGAGAGATGGGTATTGGGGGAAGAGAGAAGAGGAGAGATGGGTAGTGGGGGAAGAGAGAAGAGGAGAGATGGGTAGTGGGGGAAGAGAGAAGAGGAGAGATGAGTAGTGGGAAAAGGGAGAGTGGAAGAGAGAAGAGGAGAGATGGGTAGTGGAAAAAGGGAGAGGGGAAGAGAGAAGAGGAGAGATGGGTAGTGGAAAAAAGGAGAGGGGAAGAGAGCATGAAAGAAAGGAGAGATGAAGGGGCGGGGGGGTTGGAGGAAAGCATGGGAGTGTGGGAAAGTGAGAGAGGCAGAATAGATAGTGGGGAAAAAGTAGAATAGAGCAGACATGTAGGTCAGCAAAAAATGTGTTTTGTTTCGGATTTTTCATTCTTTCAGGTGTCAGGTCCGAACCCCGTTTCGTTTAGTTATTTGGATTCGGATCTCTCAGATTTCCGTTTCGGACGGGGTTTTTTGATTGGCCAGAAAACAGTCACATATCTCATTTCGTTTTATTTTTAACGAAATTCAGATCATCCGAAATTTCTTTAAAAGAACATTCGGATTAATTTGCATTCGGCCTCACAGGAATTCGAATTCACAAAATTTTGCCCGAATTTGCATTCGGAATGAAACAAAACTTACATCTGTAGAAGAGAGAATAAGAGAGACGAGAGTGAGAAATAAATGAGAGAGAAGAGAGAGAGAAGTAGAGATGAATGATCGAGAGGGAGAGACTAGAGAGGGAGAAGAGAGATGAAAAAGAAAGAGAGAGATAGGATTAAAAGGTGTATGAGACAGAGAAAGTAGGGATGAATGAAGAGAGGAAGAGGAGAAGAGAGGACAGATGAGGACAGATGAATGAGAAGGAGAAAGAAGAGAAGGAGAGATTAGTGAAAGGGGGAGAGAGACCATTAATATTTATAAACCTATTAATAAACCAACACATTTCAGAGGTTACAGGACCTCAGAGCTTTAAACTTCTGTTGGAGAGATCCACCGATCTCCTAACATTATCCACAGATCAGCATTCCTTAAAGTTTAAGTGTTCCTAGAGTCCTTAGCTGCCTCCCCAAAGTCACTGCACTTCGAGTTGCGGAATCCCAAGGCTGGGAATGTGGTTCATAGGGCCACTGCACTTCGAGTTGCGGAATCCCAAGGCCGGGAATTTGGTTCATAGGGCCACTGCACTTCGAGTTGCGGAATCCCAAGGCCGGGAATTTGGTTTATAGGGCCATGGAACCTGCTAAGTGTTTTTCTCTATCTGTATCCATATCCACATTGGATAGATTTTCCGGGGCACACACACAATTATAATAACCTGACACAGGTTCTATCTCTTCATAACTTTTTTATCCAGAGCAAGAAACAATGGCTTTTGTTGCACTTTAAGTGATCTGACCTCCGTGAACTGCAGTGTGTTGTAATGGTTTACAGGATTTGTACACTGCTTCTGCTAATTAGGTTCAATTATTGAACAAAGCTCTATGTGTGTGTGTGCGTACATAGAATCCTCACTTGGCTGGTACTTAGAGGCACTTTACTAATAATTAATAGAAAATGATATATGAATCATTATATAAATTATTATTATTATTTATTATTATACAGGATTTATATAGCGCCAACAGTTTGCGCAGTGCTTTACAATATAAGGAAGACATTACAAGCACAAGACAAGATGGTAAGGAGGGCCCTGCCCCTGACGGCTTACAATCTAAAAGCGAAGGGGAAGTGATACATGAGGAGGTAGCTGTGTGGGGATGAATTGTTTGAGAAAGTGATAGTTCAGTGGTCAGGTTGAGGTGGGATAGGCCTCCCTGAAGAGATGAGTCTTAAGGGATCGCCTAAAGGCAGTCAGAGTGGGAGATAGTCGGACAGGTTGGGGTAAAGAGTTCCATAGTATGGGAGAGACTGTAGTGAAGTTTTGGAGGCGAGCATGGGAGGAGTTAACGAGGGAGCTGGAAAGCAGGAGGTCTTTTGAAGAGTGGAGGGGACGGTTAGGGTGATACTTTGAGACCAGGTTTGAGATATAGCCGGGGGCAGACTTGTGGATCACTGACATATCCAGTAAGGATGTTAAACCTATAAGCCTATTGGCAAAGCAAGAGCAAAACCTGGAAAGCTAATACAAGCCAATAGGAACTCCTCATTCACTGCTCTGATTTCAGTAAAGCGATCTGATTGGCTGCAAATTTTTTTATTTATTATTAACCCGTGAAAG